AAAGAAGGCCAAGTGCATGAGCATTGCTGGAGGTAGCGTCAGAGATCTACCTGAGTGGGGGCTCTGTGTGGGGGGGGCATGAGGAATTCTTGTGTGAGTGCTTCTATTTACCCAGGGATGGGATCATTAGTTCTCAAGAAAGCTGGTGAAAGAAGAGCAGAGGCGACATTTAGGAGGTTTGAACAAAGTAGGAAATGAACAGGTGGTTTGAGGAAAGTAGGAAATTAACAGAATTTACAGGCACAGTTAAGTGCTCAATTACATAATGTAGTAGTCAATTTAAAATAAGAATTCTTGAATAGTCAGTTGTGTGTGTGTGTGTGAATATATATATATATATTTAACCTAGAAGGTTCCGCTTATTATGTTGATAGTGAACTTATTTTTCAGTAAATATATTTTAGCTTCTTTTTCTTAACTCTTGTCAGTTGTCTGTATTTTATAGTCTCTTTTTCTCAATTATACTTTCAAACCATTTATGTAAAACATTTTTGCTTTGCTTTTCTTAGCAATTTAATTCAACTTTGTAGGCTGATCAATTGTATGCTTCTGCTGAAGGGTGTCTGATTACCAGGATGGTTATTTGATCATGATTGGTAATCAGAGGATTGGGTAATAAATAGGCTGGAGTTACATGGATTAGGAATGGATTATTGTGACTTAGAGTGGTTAAGGGTAATTGACATGTAAAGACCACAACTATTTTCTATAACCTTGTCATTGCTACTTCTTTATGCATCATTCATTCATTCATTCAACAAATACTTACTCAGCACCTATTATGTGCCAGGCACTGTTCTATATGCAGAGGATACACCAGGGAACAAGAGAGTTCCTGCTTTCCTGGAACTTATGTTCTAATACAGGAAGATAGACAATAATAAAATTTTTATTAATAATATTTTAGCTAACATTTAGCAAGTCTTGTTTATTGAAACAGTTCTAAGCACTTTACAAGCATTAACTCACTTACTCTTTATAGTAACATTCTGAGGTAGATACTAGAATTATTGACACAGAAGAGAAACATTAATTTGCCCAAGTATATAAGCTAAAAAAAGGCAGAGCAGAAATGTAGAGCCCGTCTGGCTGTAGAGCATTTTCTCTTAAAAGCTTCACTATTGCTGCTTCTCAGACAAGGGAACAGACAAAAAATGAAGAGAGTAAGTGCAAGTAGTGTTCGGTATTATGAGGAAAAAACCAACAACAACCATAGTGTTCAATACCATGAAAAAAATAACCACCACGAAACCAACCATGGTTATGTAATGATACTTGTGTTGTGGAGGTTAAGAGTGTTAGGAGAACTTCCCTGAGGTGATAGATGAGCTGAGATCTAACGGGATGGTAATGTTTGTATTCCGATATCAAGGCAGCAAAGAAAAGTGAGGGCAAAGATTCCAAAACAGAAAGAATCTTGTTTTGTAAAATACAGATGCCCACTAATCTGGGAGTAAAGTATAAGAGAACAACAAAGCGAAGTCAGGGAGAGTAGATAATTTGGAACTAGATCCTGCCGGGGCTTTAGGCTACCCAAAGAAATTGGATTTTCACTCTAAGTGCAGTGGACTTTTACACAGGGAAGAAATACTATCTAATTCATCATTTTAAAGATCACTTCACTGCAATCTGTGAAATTAAGTGCAGGACAAAAGTGAAAGGAGGGAGTTTAGGAGGCAATTGCAATCCAGGTTTCTTGGATTAGGATGGTGGATGAGGCTGTGATTGTGGCAGAATGATGGGCTAATTCAGGTGTATTTGAGAGGAGAACAGTCAAGACTTGCAGATAAATCGGATGTGAAAAAGTATAGGAAGGAATTTTAAAAACGATGGGATTTTTGAGTAGCTAGTATGGGCTAATATGCATTTGGAGAAAGATGATGATTATAGAAAGGCTTCAGGTCTTTTTGTTCATAGGGTCGCCAAGAGTCGTGTTAGACTCCACGGCAATAAACCACAACAACAGTATGAGTTCTGGTAGTTTAGTGGTATGGGGTTGTGCTGCTAACTCAAAGGTATACAGTTAAAAATCTACCAGCTGCTTCCTGAAAGAAAGATGGGCAATATCCTCCTTTGCTATTCACTGCCTCTGAAAGCTTGCTGGAGGGTCAGCTTTGGGTCAGTTCCAACTCCATCATGTATAGCAACAATAACAGTATGATAAAACCCAAACTTATTGTAAATTCATAACAAATCTACAGGGTGAAACAGAACTGCCACGTAGGGTTCTCAATGCTAAAATCCACCAACGCGGAATGCCGCGTCTTTGCTGCAAGAAAGCTGGTCGGCTCAACCAACGGACCATTCTTAGCAGCCAAGGGCTTCAATCCCCGTGCCAATAAGGCTCCTGCACGAGGCTGACAGTAGCCTCACTTACTGAGATGGGTCCACGTAGAGGAACTGTCTTAAGAAAAATCAAGTTTTTCATCTCGGACTTAAAACCAAACCCCACGCAAAGAAGATTCTTCTAACTCACAGGGACCCTACACGGCAGAGAACTGCTCTACATGGTTTCTATAACTCTTTAAGGAGCTGAGGGCCACATCTTTCTCCCAGCGGCGGGTGAAATCCCAACCTTTCCATTAGAGGCAAAGCGCATAACCACTGCGCCACCGGGATTTTTAGGCCTTAACACAGGGGGGAAATTTTTCTCTGACTTAATCTTCACTGAAAGGTTTTAAAGAAACCATTCATGGGGTGGGGGAGCCGTTTAAAGTTCAATTTTGTGAACTCTTTACCTTAAAAACATTTGCATTCGACAAATCCTTACTGAGCACCTACTATATGCCAAGAACTATGGGATGCGATAGTAAGGAAACCTAGACAAGCAAGGTCTCTGCTCTCAAGCTTTGTAGGGGCTTTTTCACACGAGACGGGGATGTGGGTAGTTTTAGCTGGTGTTCGTCGTCTGGGTAAAACTCACCTAACGCTTGAGTAGCCATCTTATTAATAACTGCATCTCGTGCTCCTGGCAGTTGGGCCCACCATTCTAAACGCTCAATGTCAGATAAAAAGGAATTAATCGCTAACATTTACATCTTCCCTCCCAGTAGAATGTAACAATTCTTTAAAAAAAAAAAATTAACAAGCAATACGAATACAACCTTCTCTTTGAAGTCTAATATTTTTGCAGGAATGGTACCTTTATAAAGATCGTGGTTGCCCCCGTACATATTTGTTCTTTCTTCATATCCAATTAAATGAAAATACTAGCTTTTCCCGTAGCCCAGGTCTCTAGGCTGGCGGAGCCTAGCTCCAGAGAAAGGAAGCAGGAGCCGTTGGATTTAAACAATTTGGTGTAATCCTGTTCCACGCTCCCTCCTGCTACCCCGGGAACGTGGTGTCGGCTACCCAGAGCTTTCCGTCCACGCAGTGCCGGAATGAAGGCGTCTGGGAGGGGGTCGGGGATGGAAAAGACGGAAGAGACATTAAGTAATTGGCTCGTGAAGGTATAAAACCATGTTTAGGGTCTGCTCCAAGGCACCGATTTCAAACGCCCGCCCCCTGGGCCAGCTGGGCCCCGCCCCTCGATGTCGTCACGCCGACTTCCACCTCGGCCTCCGCCAATTGGTCACCGCCTCCGCCCCTGAAGAACAGCCGCAGCGCTGGCATTTTGCTTCCGGGTCTTGGGCTCCGGCGCTGCGCGCAAAGGCTTCTGGGAGACTGTGAGCATAATGGAGTCTGTGTGATTGGTAGAGGCTGCTGCTTCAGATCTCGGCCAAAGTGAGTGGCTGGAGGGCAGCAACCGCTGTTCCTCATCGGAAGTGGGGACAGGAACGGGCAGCAGGGTGACATCAGCATGTGGCCGTAGGGGTCTTCGGGTGTTGGGAGGCTGTTAGCTTGCTGCTGGGCCGGTCAAGGAGAGCTCGGCGACAAGGGGACAGTACATACCCTGTCGTGAGCAAAATTGTCACCACGTTGGGCGTGAGTGAGCCATCAGCGATTCTCTGAACCCAGGAGTCCCGAGTAATTATAAATAAAAGGGGGTGGGCGTGCTTTTGGGGGAAGTAGGGATGCCTCCAGCAGCAAAAAAAACTCCGTTTTCTATCTACAGAAGCGTGACTTTTTTCTTTAAAAAAGAAACCAAATAGGACAAGTGGACCAAAAAATGCCTAGGTTCCGATGCTGACAATAATAGTAGTTAGGCCATCAGTTCTGAAAAAAGTAAAGGCAGCCAGCTTCGGTTAAGGTGTGCCGCCTTTGAAACCCGTTGGGAGTTGACATTAGTGAATCCACTAAGCGGCAGTGAGTTTAGTTAGGAATCGGCAAGTCAGTGTTCTTAGGAACCTTAAGTACAGTCAGAAGAAGCAACGAATGGGTCCATTTGCTAATTTAATGAAACAAACTGGCTCCTGCCAAGTCGGTTCCGACTCACCATCCTCCCATCACACGGGAGGAGGTTGTCCACCTCTATTTCTCCCGAGGAGCAGTTGGTCGATTCAAAAGGCCAGAAGCCGGCGGCTTTAGTGTTGGCAGTGCAACTAGCTAATGACATTTGGTTACTTCAATCCATAAATTCTATCCGTGAAAGATGACTGTTGCCTTGGAAACTTGAATCAGCTAAAGGGTGTTGGAAAAGGTTTCTCATGGCTGTGGTTAAAATGTAGCACACTTTAACAGTTTAACTGTCTCCAGTTATAGATAAGATGCTCACCTTATTGATAGAGTAAGACTGAGCTAATAGTTTCAAGCTGCTTAATTCTTATCCAATGAGGAATACATTCTACAGATAACCAAAATAAAAGGCAAAGAAAAGTGGAACACAAACTCAGATCCTCTTTGTTGAATATATTACTCTTCTAAGAGCTACCTGAGGAGCCACGTTCCTTGTGCACACAAAGCTTTATAATTTGTTAAGAAGAGTTGCATAAGATTATCGAAGCAAGTTAATGGGAAATGAATGATTTGGGAAATTATCTCAAAAGAATGTAAATTGACTACTGATATCTTGTGAAATGATATTGGGAATATCTTGATTAATTTTTTTTCCTTCTTCTTGTAAGATGACAACAGCAGCCAGACCAACTTTTGAGCCTGCAAGAGGTGGAAGAGGAAAAGGAGAAGGTGATTTGAGCCAGCTTTCTAAGCAGTATTCAAGCAGAGACCTACCCTCTCATACAAAGATAAAATACAGGTAAAAAATGCTTGTGTTGTTTTTCTTGTACCAAAATCCATTAAATGGTGTAATTATGAGATAATGGCATTATTTGAGTTCTGTCATAGAGTCAAAAAACCTGATGGAGTGTCACCGTTCATTGGAATTGTTTCCAACCAGTGGGGTTTTTTTGGTTGTTATTTTGTTTTGTTTTATGGTCCAGAGATTAATAGTTCTAGTGTAACCAAAAGGTTAGTAGTTCATTTCATCATTTACTCCATGGGAAAAATATGTAACAGTTTGTTTCCACAAAGGTTTACAACCTTGTGAATGCTTTCAGGTAGTTCTCCAATAGGATGAGCCAGAATCAGCATAAAGGCAGCATTAAGATTCTTTTTTGCTTTCGTTTAATGCCACATTGGTTAAGAATTTGGCTACTAACTGAGGGACTGATGGTTTGAACTAACCCAGTAGCTCCAAGGAATAAAGATCTAATAATTTGCTCCCATAAAGATTATAGCCTGCAAAGCCAGGTAGGGTTTCTGTCAACTAAGAGTGCTTTCTGCAAGGAAAAAAATGAACTCGGTACCCAGCAGCAGTTGTAGAGTAAGCTTGGTACTAAGGATGTTAAAACTGTTGTTAAAAACTATTGACATATGTGCCAGTGGGAATTTTCAGATGTGGCAATAATTAATACAGTATCTTATTATGTTGTTGTTACATACTTTTGAGTTGAAACCAACTGGTAGCAGGCTTTCCAGTATGTTTTCCCTTAGAGCAGCTGGTGGAGTCAAACCATGTGCCTTTGGGTTGACAGTGCAACTCCTTACCATTAGGCAGAAGAGCTCCCTCATACACCATTGTTGTTGATTGCCGTCAAGTTGAGCACAACTCATAGTGACCCTATGAAAAAAGACCTGAAGCTTTTCTGTAACTATTGTCATTTATCAAAGTTCATAGAGTTTCCAGAGGCATGTTTAGGATGTGCATGCTGGTTGTGGAGTTAAAAGTATTGCTGTATTTTGTAACCCTTTAAAAAAAAAATAAAGAATAACTTACGCTTTTTATACTGGTTGAGATCTGTTGTTGTAACCCTCACTTGAATAAAATCCTTAAAAAAGATTGATCTATCCTTGTAGGAAAATATATATATTGTTGTTGTTGTTGTGTCGTCGAGTCGCTTGCGACTCAGCTACCCTATGTACAACAGCCCTAAACTCTCCTCTGCCCTGTGCCAATAGCCTTGTATCCAACACACCTATCCTGATTACCCCAGTCACTGAATCAGTCCACCTCATAGAGGGCCTTCCTCTCCTGTGCTGTCCCTCCACCCTCCCAAGCATGATGTCCCTCTCTGAGGACCGGTCCCTCCTTACAACATGTCCACATTATGTTAGACGGAGCCTTAGAATCCTTGCCTCCAAGGAGCAACCCGGTTTAACCCTCTCCAGGATGAATCTGTTTGTTTTCCTAGCATTCCATGGTACCCGCAACACTCTTCTCCAGCACCACAGCTCAAAGGCATCAATTCTCCTTCTATCCTCCCTAGTCATTGTCCAACTCTCTGATGCATCACGAGTGATTGCAGAGACCATGGCCTGTATCAGACACACCTTAGTCTCCAGAGAGACATCATTTCTCTTCAGAACTTTGGAAAGGTCCCTAACAGCAGACTTTCCCATCACAATACATCTTTTAATTTCCTGGCTGGGGGTGCCAAGAGTGTTGACTGTGGAGCCAAGCAAACTAAAGCTGTGAACAACCTCAATCTCTTCACCATCCATCCTGATGCTGCCAATGGGTCCAGTGGTGAGAATCTTAGTCTCCTTGACATTGAGCCTCAATCCATATTGGATGCTGCAGTCCTTGACCCTCTACAGCAAGCGCTTCAGGTCCTCAGTTTCAGCAGGCAGGGTTGTGCCGTCTGCATAATGCAGATTATTGTTAGATCTTCCACCAATCCTGACCCCACATTTCTCCTCATAGAGCCCAGCCTCCTGGATAATGTGTGCTGCATACACGTTGAAAAGGTATGGAGACAGGACACATCCCTGGTGTATACCCTTCCCAATTTTGAACCATGAATTACTGAACTCATTGCCCTTGAGTTAGAACCCACTCATAACTGACTTTCCAATGAGTTTTCAGAGGCTATGAATCCTATGAGAAGTTATTGCTTACCATTTTCCTGAAGAATAGCTGGTGTATTCAAAGTCCTCCCCTTTGTTTTGGCAGCACAAGTTCCTATCCACTAGGCAAGCAGAGCTTCCTGTGTATTGCCTTGAACTCTCTCACATATTGGAAACATCACAAGAATTTCTCTTAGTAGTGTTAAGATTGCATTACTAATCTTGTCTAGTTTGTTCTCTTTTACCCTTGAGGGACTGGAAACAAATGAAGCTATTTATGAATTATCTTTCATTTCCATAACTATAATTTTCGTAACAATTTGCTCTTGTTTTTTTCAACTTTAGACAAACAACCCAGGATGCCCCTGAAGAAGTTCGCAATCGGGACTTCAGAAGAGAGTTGGAAGAGAGAGAAAGAGCTGCTGCAAGAGAAAAAAATAGAGATCGTCCCACACGAGGTACCAATGCTGTCCCAGACATTTGTGTCTCAAAGGGACACAATACTGGTGTGAGCTATAGTAATAGTTCCTTAAATGAATGGATTAGCTTGGAAATGATATCTGAGGTTTATTCTACTTCCATTTTATTTCAGTTAGAAGAAACAAAACTATCTAGGCGTACTTAGCAATCATTCCTGTTCATAAGATCCAAGATTTATGCTGCTTATTATAGTGAGGCTTTTTAAGGCCTCGTGATTTCTGTTTTTAAGGTCTTCCCATTTCTATTACTGACAAGGAGCCCATATGCTGACTATTTAGTACTCGACTCCACCCAGAGGCTATGTAGGAGAAAAGACCTAGCAGTCTGCTCTCATAAGTATTACAATACAAATAAACAGTAAGAATTCTAGATTTCTGTGTGAAACCTGGAAAATCCTCTGGGGCACTTTTGTTTGGTTAAATGAGATCACTGTGATTTGAAATCACTAACATAGCATCATAAACAATCTGAGGCATCTGGATGCATCAGTTGTACTATATATAAATGGCCTTTTATTTTTTTAAGCAACATTGCCAGTTACATATTAAAATCAATATTTTTGTTAATTTATTCAACAAATAATGACCACAAGCTAGGCACTGTGTTATAGGTTGATTTAAGCTACCAGCCCAACACGGAGCAGAGTGGTCTTCTACTCTGGAAGAAAGGCTGCTTCTGTTAGATTGACAGCCTCAGAAGCCTGGTGTGGGTCCCTGTGATGATGGGGGGTCACCGGGAGTCACATCGAATCAGCAGTACTGGGAACTGGTATCTGCTGATTTATAATCTGAGCCCTCTGTGCCCATGAGTCTGTAAAGCAGTATAAGAATTGGCAGTATTTGTTTCAGTAGACTTAAGTCCTATTTATTTTATCCCTAGAACATACAACTTCTTCAGTGTCAAAGAAGCCTAGGCTAGACCAGATTCCTGCTGCTAACCTTGACGCAGATGATCCTTTAACAGACGTATGTTTATTTTTTTCCCCATTTTCTCTAGTAATATGTTTACTGAAATAGTTGGGTGGGGTTTTTTCTTTTTAACATTAAGTAACCTATGTTTATATGTTCTTAATTAATTGTAGATCTAACTTCACTGCTAACCTTAAAAATTTATTTTAAATTGATTATTATTTTGTGAATAAAGGGAAGCGTGTGCTTCCCAGAAAAAAGTGGCTCCCTATAATAGGAAACCTCGAAATTGGAACTATCATCTTCATGCTGGACTTTTATAACTAGCATTTTTAGATTTGTGTCCAAGATGGGCTCTTCACATTAAATGTGTGATAAGCGATACCCACTTGCCTACATTAAATGTGTTAGGAACTCCCTCCGTGCTTAGTTAGGGAATGAAGTGGTATAACACAAAGGTTTTTAGGATTAGCCCTTATTAAGCCGACATTAAAATTCCAGGATGAATCCACAGTTTATAATTAGATTGCAGTTTTCTATTGTGGGATAATCTGAATGACCCTTTATAGGTAGCTTCTCATTAAGCACATATATTAGCAGTTAAATCTAGTTGACTGAGGCCAGTTACTAACAGTCATTGGAATGCAGAGAATTCTCCTTGTTACTCATTTGAAATTATCGTCAACTAAGCAACTTTTTAATTCTGTTTTTGAATATTTAAGGTTGCTAACTTAATGATTTTGTCTTCTTAGGATTATCTCAGTCGTTTCGAATGACATACTACATGCATTATGTATAACACTTTGATATAAAGTGTTCTATTTTCAGTTACAAAACTATTTTGATATGTAAATTTCCATATGACCATGTAAATGATAACGGTATTTTGTTTTACTGTGTATTGTCCAGCTCTCTCAACACACCAACTGTTCACATTTATTGACTATTCTTGGGCTAGGTAGTGGGGCTTTATTTATATTTTGTTTGTAGTCATAGTATCTTCCTCTTCAGTACTGTCTATCATAACCCCCCAAATCCGTAAAACAATAAATAATACACATTTTTCTTTAATCTTCTGAGCCATTGTACCATTGCCATGTTTTAGGAGGAGGATGAAGATGAAGATTATGAAGAGGAGAGTGATGATGATGACACTGCAGCTCTTCTTGCGGAACTAGAAAAAATTAAAAAAGAAAGAGCTGAAGAGCAAGCCAGGAAGGTAAAAATTCAAGTGTTAAATATTTATATCATCTCATTTTGAGATAAACTTTAGAGTGATGGAGTCAGACTGGAAGAAGAAAAATATTTTCAAGTACATTTCTCATCCAAAATTAATGTTAAAAAACTACCTCATGGCAACTCATTGAAGCAGAGTCTGGCCAAGGTGGAGAATGCGTGCTGTGCCCTGAAAGTCAGGGGCTCAGAGATTCCCAAACATATGCTGGCAGATGTGTTTTCAGTCAAAACGGAAATGATTGATCAAGAAGAGGGCATCTCACAGAACTGCCTTGAAAATTCCTGAGAAAGACCAATTTGTAGACTGTTATTTTATATTTTATTTTACTTTATTGTGGCTTCCACGTAGAACTGTTTTCAGTTGTACTTACTTTAAATTGTATACAAACTATACATAACATTACCCAGATGACAAATTTCAGGTATCTTATTAATAAACATTTGCATAGAAATGTTGCATCTATGCCTTTGAAATTTTGCAGGTTATCCTTCATCATTTGTTTTTTTAACGTGCTTCAGAATGCACTTTCTGCCATAGCTGTGTTGATTGACTTTGTGAGAATTTCATGAAAGCCATTTATAACTTATAAAGTGGTGGTTTTGCTGCCAGTAGAAAGGTTTCTTAGATAAAATCTTTTCTTCAACTTCCTGTTTAAAGTTTTTTGGTGTTACTGGACTTCCAAAACAGGTTTATTTCATGGAAACTTAAAGATCAGTGAGGTGGTATCAAGTTTTATTAGGTATTGTAGTGAGAATGGATAATGTTTTCTGTTCCATTTGTCTGTGTACCTGTCAGTGTACCAGTATGATGTTTAATCACAATGGTTGTATTCCTTCTTCAGTAGTGTTTTCTTATCCGAGGTCTCTTTGCTTTCCATATAAAGTTGATAAATTACTTTTTCCATCTCTTCAAGAATGATAGCATCTGAGTTGGCCCATTATTTTCTTTTTATATTTGAGAATTTTCTGATCTATATCTTTAGAAAAAGAAGTAAAACAAAGATCTTAATTTGATGCTTAATCTCCTAACTTTGACAGGAACAAGAACAAAAAGCTGAAGAAGAAAGAATCCGCATGGAAAACATTTTGAGTGGAAACCCACTTCTTAATCTCACTGGTCCATCCCAGCCTCAGGCTAACTTTAAAGTAAAAAGAAGGTAAATAGAGTAATGAAGTGGATATACTTACACAGATTTTAGTTGGACTGAAAGCTATTCTGTAGTTGCCAAAACTTCATTTTCTACTGGTCATCTTCTCTGTCACATTTTAACATTAGGGAAAGAGGAAAATAAATTTTCAAGAAAATTCTGAATTATTTCAAGAAACACTTAAAATAATCAGCAATGTGCCCGGTGTTTTTCAAAGCATTAGAAACAGTGGAATAAACTGAGTCTACACCCTATAAAACTTTACATTTTAGGTGTATGTGTAAGGGGTTCCCAAGACCACCCTCCCATCTGAAGATTTCCTGGAAGGACTCAAGGGACTAAGCATCTAGCTATGCCCCTGGCTGACACAGTGATGAAGTGAGGATGCATCGGATTCAGGGGATTCTTTCTTCCCAATCACAAGTATTAGACAAGCATCCTATTAAAACACATGTTTTTTAAAGGAAATTTTTAGATTTCCCATTTTTTACTACCTAAAATTTCAATTAGGAGACAAAATCAAGTATATTTCTAGAATATAATGGAAAACAGTATAATGAAAGTACTTCTACATTATGCTTATTCTTTATTATAATCTTCTTGTTCTGGAACCTAATGCTTTTGTTCCCTTTTTTTTTTCAGATGGGATGATGACGTTGTCTTCAAGAATTGTGCAAAAGGTGTAGATGATCAGAAGAAAGACAAAAGATTTGTAAATGATACACTGCGATCTGAATTTCACAAAAAGTTCATGGAGAAATATATTAAGTAGTACAGTTTTATG